GGGGTCGCCACAGCAGAATGAACCGCCAACTTATCCAGCAAGTTTTTACGCAGCGGATGCCCTTCCAGCCGCAACCCATCTCTGGGAATCCATAGAATTCAAATTAATTTAATTGAAAAATCCTATCTACAAAAACATCTAAATAGCGAAAGCACAAATAGCACAAATATTATTTTTACACCAGAATTCTCTCACTGGAAATCTGAAAAAAAAATAAAAAATAATAATAACCAACAAGCTGATCGTGTCTTACCATAGTGAATGAGATTAAGCCTATCTTCTTTGTTCAGCATTGACTTCAGGCTCTGAAAAATAAAGAGCGGACCTTAATTTGGTCAATTATTCATGAAAAGTTAGCCTTAGACTAGTTAAACTTGACAGTGTATGCATCCACTTACCTCAAAGCTAATATATTGTTTCTTCCATTCAGGGATCATTTGTAAAGATGAATGTTCAGAAAATGTCATTTGGACTGCTTTACCAGCACTGAGTGTGAGACTTCCAGGCTTTCTGCAGGTGTGGGTGTGTGTGTGTGTGTGTGTGTGTGTGTGTGTGTGTGTGTGTGTGTGTGTGTGTGTGTGTGTGTGTGTGTGTGTGTGTCATAACAATAGAAAGTATGAGACGTGGAGGGAGGGCAGTCACAGTGCAGGAGCACAGAGAATCACTGAAGCCATGTATAATTTAATGGGTCGTCTAAGCATTTTAACACACTTGTCATGAACTTGTATATCCATAATCCTACGTAAAAGCTCACATGCAATGTTTTAAACTAAAATATTTATATATTTTTTTCTAAAGGGAAAAACAAATCTGCTATTTACGAGTAATTTTACAGTGGATATATAATGAATAAATTGTATTTCACAATTCACAAACATTCCAAAGTAGATTTTTCTTTATTAATTCAAAGTAAAGTGACAAATCTCCTGGAGAAACACAAGTCAATTATGTTTATAAAATCAAGAACATGATGGTGAAAATGTATTTAACGAATTTTTATTTTTAATATCTAAATAATAGATGAACGCAGGCATATATATTTAACAATGAACACCTGCTTGCTTACAAGTATAACAAATAGACAGACGCACAGTATTCATTCATTCATTTTCTTTCCAGCTTAGTCATTTTATTAATATGGGGTAACCACAGCAGAATGAACCACCAGCTTACCCAGCATGTTTTACACAGCGGATGCCCTTCCAGCTGCAACACAACACTAAGAAACACCCATACACACTAATTCACATACACACACACTACGGCCAATTTACCTATATTTAATTCACCTACATTACTAAACAATGTGACCAATAAGTACGAATAAAACCATAAAATGACAAATAAAAGTCCCTGCAGATGCAAGGCTTTAGAGAATTCAATGAATTCATAAGAGTAAGAAATAGGGCATCCTGAAGTATTTTAGAAACAGGTCATATAGTCCCCGTTGAGAAGACGCTCTGAAACAAAGAACAACGTTTACATTGTCGGTCATATAGTCATCAAATAAATATGAACTCAAATGCTGTTGTGAAGCTTGCATGATATAACAGCTAAAGTTACAATCATGCCTTCTGAGCATTTGGAATGATCACACAAATCAGTGTTTAAAGTGTAACATGTTGATTTTATTGTAGTTTTCACAGTTCTCCACGTCTACAAAAAAAAGAGAAGTACCTGAAACAGCTTGTGCTCCTGAAAAGCTGCCTTTTACAACATGAGAAGACAACTAAATTATTCACAGTTCTAGTTCAGGGAACATCCTACAAGACACAAGTGACGTTGCAAATGTCTTGTGCAAAATAAAAGGCAACTGTTCGACACACTTTGGCCACACTAGACTATAAACAGTACAATAAGGTTTCATTTGGTAACATTAGGCTATATGCATCATTGAACTTACAATGTTAACACATACAACTATCGGAAAACATCTTTACATCTTTTATTTATTTTCAACCATTCGTACACTGTAAAACAAATTTTTCCTGAGGCATTTTTTAGTTGAATCAATTTAGTCATGTCAACTTACATCAATCGATTTGACTAAAAATATTAAGTTAAACTTTGTATAACTCAAACAATTTAGTTTAAACTTTATTAAAATAAAAATATTTGCTGTCTTGACCTTAAAATTTTTTTTCAGTGTTTGTGTTCTCTTTCATGTTACCTTTTCTGTAATTTTGTGCAACATTAAGCTATATATGGCTAAAATCCTTGTCAGGCATAATAATATTGATCAATCGATGACATATTAAGAGACTATTAAATGATTGACGTATATATTTTAATGTGTACCAGTCAGAATAAGTATGTTGTTTTGTTTTTACTATATTTTTTTTTATATATATAGTAACACTTTACAATAAGGTTCATTAGTTAATGCATTTACTAACATGAACTAATCATGAACAACATTAGTACAGCATTTATTAATCATGATTGAACATTTACTAATGCATTATTAACATCCAAGTCCGTGCTTGATAACATTAGTTAG